AAAGAATTTAGGGCTGCCTTTAGTTCTAGTGTTTCTGACATGTTTAGTACTCGAATTTAGAAGCAAGCAATATAAACCATATAATCTTTTACTTAAAAGGCTTCTACTATACTTTAACTTACCCGTGAATCAAATTCATGTAAGATATGGACCTTTCCAAGTTTCCATGTGTTCATATCTCTTTTGAATTGTTTTTTGGTACGTAGGAATCCACAAAAACATATTTATTCGGACACTAATTCATTCCTGAGCTTAAGCTATACAAGTATATCAAGGTTTAATATTATTTCGTTAGTCAAGTCTTATAATATGTCAATCACGTAAATTTCACTCACCTAAAATATCTTATTTGAGCTTATAGTGTATACTTTTACCAAAGATAATAAATATTTGAGTTTATTAGCGTTGAATTTATTAAGAGAGCTAAATTTGTAAAAAGAAACTATAATATTTATTCAGACTTATTTCAACTTATATACTAATACGTAAGTGAAATAAATGATGATAAAAGTCTAAGGCGATATGATCCTTGCCCCGTTAGGTTGTAGTACTAGCTACTAACATGAACAATATGGGATTGTCGTTAAAATTATAGGAGGATGGGCCATAAATTCACCATTATTATGAAGCAAATAAGTCTAAAAGACAACATATTTTTGCCTGTAATAATTGGCACTTTGATGGTGAAAGGCAGAAAAATGGAGGGACCCTAATAAGAAAATTAAGAGGCTTAAACCCTTAAACCCGAGAAATTGAAGTGATATTTTATGCATGTCAGCCAAATTGTCTGTACTATTCTCAAATCTATGGCTGCAGCTTTGGCAACGCGACATGTGGTTTGCTATTTGCATTATCAACTAACACACATGACACATATAAATATATATAGCCACATCATCATACATGTAACAATCATGTAATTGGGCCTGTTCTCGATGACTGAACTCAGCTGAATTGAACTGAAATGAATATTTTATAAAAGAAGGAAATTAGAAGCTGAACTGAACTGAGCTGAACTAAACTGAATTTCAACGTATGAGAACATGCCCTTAACTAGACCAATGATTTAATAATCTCTACTATTTAGTCATTGTACTTATAACTGTATTAGACATCTGATCCTCATCTCCTATATTATTGTATGAGTAGCATTATGTTTTTGGTTTTCCCGACTTGTGAGGTATGTGGTGTTCGTATCTATTAGGAATGTTTAAAACCTGTATATATTGAATGGATGGTATCTGGCTTAGCTTTAGGATGACTTTTTATGGGCTATTATTATTATTTTTACTTTAAAACTTGTTTAAATAGTCGAAATTTGTATTTGATAATTGGTTTTTTAATTACTCGAGATTAATGATTCCTCAGAGTCTAAATTTTTTTCTAGTTTGACATTTTTGTAAAACATTCCTGTCAGATAATATGAAACTCCTCGATAAGAGTGATTTCCATTGATCAATATTTATAGGGTTACAATGAGAAACCTAATCATATTAGGTAACATAAGATATGTATAGATATCAAAGATAATCTTATACAAAATATATCCTAAACCTAAGATGAGAATATTCTATGGATATTCTCTATCACACCCCCGCAGTCGGAGCGGGAGAAAATCGGATGCTCAGACTGGATCTGTATCACGCATCGAGCGGTAAGGATAGTATGGTAACCCATGATCAAAAGGGAAGTAGTAGACATGTGCCGATGATGACGATGAGAAGCAACAGCCACGACCTACGTAAAGTAGAGATAAGCACTGCTAGGCCGGAGGAGAAGGAGAAGAGTCGCACACAGGCTTGGGCTATTGCAGATCCAGAGAAGAAGAAGTTAAGGGATCAAACCATCATCGGGGAGAAGACACTACACTACTACGTGAAATCACAGTTGAAGAAAAATAAATAAAATTGCGCAAGAAAAGATTAAATCCCACCGCTTGAAATTAATCAATTCTCAGAAGAGAAACCAGGTAGCAAGAAGTAATACTCCACAAAGATTCCAAGTGCTGCAACAATAAAAGGAGCTAACTTGATAGCAAAAGAGATGTGCAAAAGTTGACCTTATTGTGATATACCACCACCCAAACAAAATCTATGTGATTATGTGTTAAAAAAACCAATGAGGCAATGTAAGAATCATTGTTGGTCATGGGGAGGTGGAAATGGAGTGCGACACATGGAGTAGGTTGGCAGATGTAGTTACTGCCAGTAGTGGGAGGCGGTAGTGTATGCGATTGCCAACAATGATGGAGGAGGTTTTCGCGATTGCTATTGTTGGTGGGAGGCGCAAGGTTACATAAAGATTCTAAAAAAAAACTTTGAGAAAAGAAAAAAAAAATCTATATGTGTGTTTGCGATAGCATAAAAAAACTTTGTATATCTCGCCGGTGGGTTTAATTTTCTAACCCACCGGCAGGGTGAGAATTTTTGTATATAATCCCAAGATCTAACCTAAGTTGTGATACCATGTCAGAGGACCAACTCAACCAAAAACTTAAACTAATGGTTGAGGCCCAGGAATATGTTTTATACTCTATCACGCCCCCTCACACGAGAGCCCGTTTGGGCTAGAAGTGTGGATGCAGCATGGGCCCTCCTCATACCCAACACTTAATATTCCACCTGAAAGTGGGGGGTGGATGAGATTCGAACCCGTGACCTTTATTTCACGCTGGCTCCGATACCATGTTAAAGGACCATCTCATCCAAAAGCTTAAACTAATGGTTGAGGCCCAGGAATATGTTTTATACTCTATCACTCCCCCTCACATGAAAGGCCCTTTAGGCTTGAAATGTGGATGCAACACAGGCCCACCCATACCTGGTGCGAATTAATTCCACTTTAAAGGAGGGGCGGATGAGATTTGAACCCGTGACCTTTGTGTCACGCTAGTCTAAATAGGGAAAACTTTCAGAGATGGTGTATATGGAGTAATAAATATTGTATTAGTACTGAGTATTTAATATCCAATAACAATAGGGTACTAAAGGGCTAATTAATAAGTAGTGAATAATGATAATAATAAATATATTAATTATTAATCATTTAATTTTAATAAATTAGCAACAACAAATTGTAAACTAATTAATCAATAATTGTATTTTTAGTAATTTACACCTAAAAGGATAATCAAACATAAAATTATTGTCCTTATATCTCATTTAATCCAAAAGCTTAAGAGCTTAAAAGCTGTTGGCCAATTGTCAATTTGTCATTCACTCATTTGATAGACAAAAAATTCAGGTTCCTCAATCTAGATTGTTTTTGTCAGACAATAATTTGTGACTTTGCAACTTGATGATGAACTCATCCATTGATCCAAATAATAAGTCAGATTTAATTGGAATTTTATTTTCGTTTTTATTGTCTTTTATGCGTGAAAAACAAATTAAAGCTACATCTACTTATCACACTTCACTTATAAAGAGTATTACGACTTGCACTATTTTCTATTGTTACTTAGGTGTAGGACTTGCACTACATTATATGCTCAAACCATTTAAGGGGTTGTTTGGTTGAAGTTTTTGGAATGGATTTTGAAACAATGAATAATTCTATTACTTATATTAATTATGTGGTTGTAATTTTTTTTCGTTATTATAACTTTAATATAAAGACTAGTTTTGTGCCCCGGCGATACCCGAGTAGTTTATGGACTTCTAAGATAAAATTAACTTTTAAATTGAAAATAGAATTCTAAATTAACTTTTTTTCTACAAAGTCAATCTATACCCGGGTAAATGATGTTGTCTTGTGGCCTAATTATAAATTTATTATTTGGTATTTTATCGAAAATATAACTCTAAACTAATAATCTTATTCTAAAATTCTATCCTAATTTGATTGAAAATAGAATTCTTACCTAATTTTTTTTTATCTTATGAGATCTATTTAAGGTGGTGCGACACTTTGACGGCTTTTTAATCATATGAAGTCTATTTAAATCTATCCATCCAAGGTGGCGCGACACTTGGCGAAAAGTTGGAATGTCAAGTGTCGCTATTTCGTAACCTGACTAAAAGTTTAGCTTTATATATTAGTTATATGATTATACTCGTAAGTCATAAGCATTACTCAAAATGACAGGACTAATTTAATTATTCAGCATAATGTTCACTTAGAAGAGAATGACTGATTGCGAGTCATATTATTAATCAATAAGGCGAACATGTTTAAGTGAGATGTATTTTCCCTTGCTTAATGAGGTAAAATGACAACGATAAAGACAAGTGCAAAGAGAGGCATTGCACTCATTGATGGTTAACAATTATAACTAATAAATAACCCACTCGAATGACAATGATGCTAAAATCAAATCTCCATCAAAGAAACAAGTATAGACATTTTTTATTTTATTTTTTTAATTTTCTATTTCTAAAAAAAGTATAGATACACAAAAAAAGTTGATATAATTTTCTCTTGCTATAACTTATTTGAAGAAATAAAAAAAGAAAATTTATTATATCCTCCATTCTTATTTACTTAACCCGCTTTGACTTTTACACTATTCACCATCCATCTTTTGACCGTCTTTTATGAATTATATATAAAGAAAAAACATATTCATGTGAAATCTTTTGATTCGTCTCATTAAATACTATCATAATATATAACTTTTAAAATTTTTTATTTATGGAGAATTAAAAATATTGATTGTTAAAGTTTTACATTGACAAGCGTGATAAAAGAATTAGGTCAAGCTAAAAAGAATAGAGAAAATATAATATAATGGTGGCTACAACATAAAAATAGGCAATGAATCATGAGGTAATATAGCATGTCAAGATGACAAGTATGAAATAAACGTAGTAGTATGTTATATTTAGAGATAAAAAGAGAGTATAAAATTGAGTGTTGCAATTGATTTTGAACATTATCCGAACGTTTCAAAACGAAAGCAGCTTAACTCACCTTTCTCAATTCTTGGCCACAAACTCGTTGTCATGTTAATATGTTTTTAGTTTTATTACTTCTTTTGTGTTAGAAAATCGTTTTCAGGGTGACAAGAAATAAGTATGACCTTTCACAACTAGTAAGATTGAGTTTAGAATAATAACTCCTTACAACAATCTTAATTTTGTCGGCACCTTTTAATATATTAATCCCTACAAGTTAATGTTCTAATACTAATCCAAAAATATTTAGCCAATAAAGAAAAAAAAAATGTGAAGTTCAAACCTACTTTTGTCACTGCATTACTTCGCTCAGTTCATCAGCAATTGGCCTGACAAATCTACATTTCTAATAACTTGCTTGACTAAAGATGCAAATCTATAGTTCACAAGAAAAATTGCTGCTGAACACCCTCGCCAACGTAAAATTGGGGCCTGTGGCACAGCTGACACTACAAATTTTCATCCTCACACTCCAATGAGCAGCAGCATTATTCATATGACAGTACTACGACAAAATAACCTCCAGTTATCATCTTCATTTGTATCTGGGATCTACAGAAAACAAAAGGCAAACAGAATTTCTCAAATAAAATAGTCAGAAACAACCTTCATTTGATCCTATAAAGAAGAGAACATTTGACCACAATTTGTTACAAAAATGCTCGTCTAACAAATGAGACTCCTTGAATCTATCACTAGCATGATACACAACTTGCATATGAGCAGCCTGGTTTGGTGCTGGGGCTTGTGTAGTAAAATACGCTGTTATCCTTGAAAAACACCCTTCAATTTTTCCCAAGAATGAAGCATTACTGACAATATATACCTAATAAAACATCACATTTAGAGTAACATCTTCACTGATAAGTATAAACTCAGCTTATATATAATAAATACAACAATATATGCAGACAGTCATCATCAACCCTTCATCAAGTGATGGCAGTAGCGGCAGTACTCTTATTCTAATGGTAAATAGAGGCCCAAAAGCTAATTAATAGTACCAACTACCAAGGTTTGTGGTTTTGCCACGCAAACTAGTAACAAACTTGAATAAATAATTGCAATGATGGAGTGAAGAACACAGAAAATCAACCTGTTGCTATATGGAGCAGTATCTACCAAATAGACACGAAATCCAGGTAGAACATGATAGCATTTATGATTAAATCAAGAGGTGTTTGGACAGAAAACTGCAAATTAATTAAGAACATAATTAGGAAATTATGCATGATTCAAAAGTCAACCTAAAGTTGACTTTTTTAAGGACATGACAACTGAATTGACATAGGATAAGGAGAAATTTCCTTGCCGATTTCTATTTATTGGCATGGAATTACAACTGAGTTCATTATAACTCTAAAGTGATGTATGTCAAACAATAAGAACAGTTACTGTGGTTATCAAACAACAAAAAATATCAATCAAGTTGCAGAGTCAATATTTAGGGCAAAGTCCAATATTTCCAAAGGTATGTAATGAAATTTTTATTTCACGACAAATTTCTACTAAAGAGCCATATTATTATTATTATGATTGGGCAAAAGTCCGAATACGGTTCATATTTTCTCAAAAAAGAATTGATAAATTTAAAGTCGCCATATTTAGGAATTCTGTCTACATAGATAGTAACAATGTGGTTAGACCACAATTTTGTTATCTAACAAATAAGCCTAGAATATATCATGCTTTCTATTGAGCAACTACTTTACAGTTACTTAAAAAAGACTAAGCAATTTGGCCAATATCAAGCAGGGGGTGCCATGCGTTCAAAAGCAACATGAAGTTATGCTGAATGATGGGAGTAATAGTCTTGGCAAAGCAAAATATCACATTTTTAGTCATAATATGTAAAATCAACATCAGAATAAATTATGCTCTACCTTCACCATATTGGCAACTACATTTAAGTGTCTACGTGCAATGTATGATAAGATATTGCCAAAGTGCAATGAATGATAAGATATTGCCAAAGTGCAAGGAAAGAGTAAAAAAATGATACAAAAAGTACATAGAAAGACAAGGATAATGGTTACCAGAAAACAAATGCATATATAAATCATAGCATTCAAAAGCAGAACCAAGTAGAAGCATAAACTATTAAAGGATACAAAGGAGGATACGAACAAAGAAAAAACTGCTGAAGCCTGAATGACTTCCTACAGAAAATTGTTATCATGAACCAAGTCAAAATCACAACCAATAAGCCAGTCATTAGCAATAAAAGATGAACCAAAAGCTAGTAAAATATGCTGAATGCTTGATTTAACATACCTGCAAAGCAACATGAGCACTGCAAAAACCAGTCATCAAGGGTCAAAATGTCCTCATAAAAAACGAATTCTACTTCACAATCGAACCCTAATGCCATCAGAGATTGGATTATAACTCTAGCCTTCTGGACTGGCTGTCAATGAACTAACCATCATAAATATCACTAGCTTCAGAAGGATCATATCTATCACTGAATTCACCCCTTCTTGATAAATCCCTTTCATCATTCTCATATTTTTTCCTTCTATGTCTCTCTGGAGATTCTAACTTCCTTTTGTCCTTTCTACCAGAAGAGCTTCTCAAAGTGCTTGATGTAGATGATTTCAAATCATTAAAGCTCGACATATTATGAAAAGAGTAATTTCTTTTGGAACGTCCATCATCATCTCTTTCTAAAACATCTTGGTTCCTTCTGTGACTCTTGTGCTCTCTCGATCGGCTGGATCTTCTATCAACACTTGGACTTCTGGAATAATAGTCCCTAGAACTTCTATCCCTATTTGTTCCTTCATCCTCAAGATGTCTGTGATTGTAAGTGTCTTTCTTCTGTCGCTCCTTTCTACTTGGAGAAGCATCAATATGTTTTTTGTCCCTAGATTCATGGTTATCATTAAGTGATCTCCTATATCCATGCTGTTGATCATTTGTTAAGTGATGAGCCACCTCAAAATTTGTAGAATCATGGGCAGGAAAGTTATTAAATGTTGATTTTGCTCTTTCTGCATCTTCCTTGTCAAGGCTTCCAATACCTCCTGTGTGCTTAATAGCTTCCATGTATTCTTCAATGATATCCCGCATCACCTTTAAAATAAGTTAAAAAAGAAACCATAATTTTTTTTTGCCATATAGCATCAGGTTTTGTAAGCTACTTCTAACAGACTAACAGGATCAGACAGACATCCTACCCATCTAATAAACAATCTTTTTAACCCAGTTACTGGAAAGTTTCACAAATTGTAATAATGTTACCCATACAGGAGGTTGATGTACCCGCCCCCTTCTCCAACCCACAAAACAACATTCCAAACAAACAAACAATCAATCCTTCAGTTATCTGCTCATTCACTGCAGCTGACAAGAAACATCATAAGCAGATTATTGTCACATGAAGGCCTTTCAATAGTGGGACACAAGATGAAACATGGCATGAGTGGCATGAATGGGATGGATGTTCAAGTTCAACACTGATAAAAGGGATACTTGACAGTTGACACTCAAATTCTTGAATCAACAACAATCTTCGGCAAAAGGACCCATAATTCAGGGGAGGGACAAGACTTATGATCACAAAGACAGCGAAAATTGTACCAGAGAGCCAATTGGCAACCTAGATGGCCTGACACTCACGTAAGAAAAGTGAATTGCCATTTACCCCCAAAGAATACTCAAACTACAGTATCTAATGACCCCTGGCAGGTTGCCCTTGCCCCTCATTATCTTCCCTTCCCTAGCTTCTCTCTCCTCTCTCAACACTTTATCACCGACTTCCCCTGTGGTAAATGTTTGAACAAGAAACAAGAAACCCAGAGGCTTAATCATGGGTTGATAGGTTCTTTAAGGAAAGGCCATCCACGCAATAACTCTTCAATGGATCAGTGTAACACAAGAAAAGTAGAAGAGAAGAATAACATATCTAAGGACAGTGTGTTTCTTACCTCTTTTGCTGATCGCTTTAGCTTCTTTCCACGATAGGACATTCTGCGACGTTTGTAATCCCTCTCTTCAGCCATTAACTCCTCTCTAGTCTTCGTCTTTGTAGAGTCCTGGTTGATCAGCAGACAAGATTGAAATTATCTTCATTAACTTGGTCAAAATTTCACATAACAGCTTAGGCAGGAAATTTAATAATTAAGACATAAAGATATGACATCAAACAGAAAGCTTGTGCCTAGCATGAACATGAAACTTGATCTGAATAAAGCAGGGGAAAATGATACATGGTGATAAAAAGGTCTATATAGGAAGACATCCAGCTGTTGTAAACCTGTCCCCTTTCTCATTATCAGGAAACAGTTGACACCATCTGTGTTTTGAGGCATAATGGCAATTGGCAAAAGTATTACAGATACAATAAGTGGGACCAAATGCTTTTAAACGATCCATCACTACATCAATCATGCAACATTGTCAATTTTTATCCTGGCAAAAATGAGTGTACAATTGTACATGTCCTGTATATGAGCAGAAATGGCCCATATAAACGTTCTAATAGGAGTAGAATGGGAAAAAGGCTACGGAACGTGCTGCCAATTCTTCCAACACTCAAGAATCATAAGCAATAACTCATAGAAAAACAGAAGAAGCAATATATTTATAATACCCAGGAAGATCCAACTCAAGTCAGAAGACTAACTTAAGTCATTTCTTAACTTTTGCAAATCATCTTGACAAAATCTTCTTAATAATTCTTTATCTCTCTATTCTAAACTGAATATAATTACACGGCCCTAAAGTTCTTTTCCATTGAAATGATCACAAAATGAAAGTGGACCTTCTAATCCTAAAAAGAAAGGTCTAAAAGTAAATCGTACATCAAATTATCTGCATTTTAAGCAATGAACACATACCTGATCATGCTGCCTCTGGAAAGGGAGACTATCATGTTCAAGCAGTGGTCTGTAATCAGGACGTTTTTGGCGTTCCTCATCAGCCTTATTTGTAATATACTGATGCTCAGCTACCCTGCAAACAGAAAAGGAAGTCATCTTCATTTTGCTACCCCAAAACAAAATAAACATATTATCTGGGATGAGATCATCCAACTATATTAACTGATGCTCAGCCACCCAGCAAACAGAAAAGTGTGCACAATTGGATATTCTTTAAAAGAAGTTACCTTCATTTCTCTACCTTTAAACAAAATAAACATAATATCTGAATGAGATCACCCAATTATATTAATCAGACCAAGATGAGGCAACAATACACAAGGCAGAAACTGAAGCTTGTATAAGTATGTATCATCACATGGTTCAACAGGATATTAGTCATCTAGAATGTCAAAATTTTTACTACATTTATCATCACACAAAATAAGATGACATGAACAAACCGTTGATAAGCAGCAAGGGGTAGAGGATTCCTGAGTGCCCTGATTCTTTCTTCAAGCAGTGCCCTTTCACGCAATGCAGCTATAGCAGCTGCTATTTGGTACACAAAAATAGACCTGCTAAACATTCTTTCATCTGTTGTGTCATTACCTTCATTCTTCCCAACTTCTCCAGCGGACTGACCCATGATAATATTTTTCTCTTGCTCAATGGCAGGGCCGTGCTCCATTTTCCTGTCTAAAGGAAACAGTGAGGCCTGAGATGCAGCATTAAGCAACAGATGTCGAAGCATCACAATAACATACGACTTGGCATTTGTTTCACCATACAAGATGGATAACTGTGATGCCAACCATCTCAAAACTTCAACTGTAACAGGACACTTAAACCTTAAAGATTTCACATCCAACCTTTTACCATTATCACCTACATCACTCTTCAAAGCCCCATAAGAATGTGCAGCCTCTCTCCTAATTGCATTTAAGCAAAGTCTAAAGAGTACAGACATATGATCCCTCATAGCAACATCAATTACAACACCAAAACGCGGTGAATTCGCAATCAACCACGACAACAATTCACCTTCCTTTACATAATCCATACACAAGAATGCCCTAAAAACACTATATGAGTACTCATTGGGAAAATCACTCCACTGCTCAATCTCACGCCCAATAACCCACATTTCGGATGGAAGTACCTTAATACTACTTCCCAAAAAGTGATCATTCTCCCTGTCACTAATACCAGCAAAATTAGAGCACTCGACGGATAAAACCCCAGGAAGGGTGAAAATCCTCCTAGTGGCATCATCATCTAATGAACTAACAACACCAGAACAACCCTGGTAAAAGAAATTGTAACCGAAATCGACGTAATCATCAAGGGATAAGCAGAGGTCTGATGTGGGGTCATTAAGTGGCTGAACAAACTTGTTTTGGTGAATCAAATGTTGTTCAGAATTCAGGGTTTTAGGGTATTGGAGGGAATCAAGAAAAATACCCAAATCAAGCGAAGAAGGGCAATGTAGAGAGTGCTGAAATAGGGAATTTGGGGGAACCCAGTGATTAGGGTTTGAAGGGCATTGAATTAGGGAATTGGAGGAGAGAGCAAATGAGGGGATGAGAGAGGAGAGGGATTGAAGAGTAGAATTTGATGATTGTAGTAGGGTTTTGAGGGAAGTGAGAGAATTGGGCAAATCAGAAACAAGGGATTGAGCTTGAGATTGAGGTTGTGGTGGGGGAGAAGGTAGAGGTGGGCATGAATTGAATTGGGGATTTGAGAAATTAGGGTTAGGGTTTAAAGGGTTGAAGGAGGAATTGAGAACTGGGTAATGAGAATTCATTGAAGGGGTATTAGAATTAGCTTCGACTTTTACAGAAAATTAAGCGTATACAGTATGAAATTGAACAAGATCAAAAGGCATTGATAGAAACAAGATGATTTTGGAAAATGCAACATACAGCACACAGTAGAAGAGTATGTGATTTGGAGGGAATTATTTGACAGTGAGCTGCCATAAATTTGAAGGAGAGGTCCTTGACAATCTGGTGTTACGGAGTATTAATAATTTTCTATGGAGTACGATGAACTTAATAGTAAACTTTTGATAAGTAGAGTTTATTTTGCCAATAATTTTATTTATTTATTTATTGACAGATAAATGAACACTAGAGGCCGTTGGATAAGCTAGTTAAAAGTAGACAGATTAAATTAAAATGAACATTAATTACACCGATGATCAACGCGTGATTTTGTCATGCTTTTCCGAATTTATACCACTTTTAGTAGTATTTTAAATGCTTATCCAACGCCCCAGGGGCGTTCGTTAGCAAGATCCTATAAAAAATTATTTTACCTATTTGTGTTTACACTAACTCACTCAATAAATCTGAGGAGGAGCTCTTTTTTATATCGACATTTTTTTTTTGAAACAATTGGTATTACATAAGTTTCAACAAAGAATTAATCATTTTGAGCAAAATTAAGTTTAGATAAGTGGAAGTAAATAAATCTCTACATATACACGCTCATTTCAAAAAATTAAGTTTAATATTGTACTCCATAGTGCGTAAGGACTACAAATCAATATTGATGTACAAGTAGACAAATCTAAACTAGTTGGCATCCACAATATATAAAGTTACGAACTTAAATAGTAAATTAGTTTACAAGATGCGTGTTTTAATAAATCAAAAAAGAAAAGATGAAGTAACCATTTCACTATTGAACTGCCTTCAGTAATAAAAAAAACTACCAGGTAATACAAGAGTTGTTGCCTGTTGAAAGAATCATTTTGCAAGCAGTTGAAAGAATAACTATAGAACTACATGGAGAACAATTCATGGCAATAATATACTAACCCATATTATTTTTTGCAAAAGTTTCTGAATAAGATGACACCTAATAAGTAACTGATGAATACAGGATGACTATTTGGCCATCTACAGAAAATAATGCTATATCATTTCTGTGTAACTTAATGAACCATATTAACAAGCAGCAACCCTCCTCTCATTGGCTTCCATTTGTTTCCGTAGCTCGGTTGATCTAGAATCATCAATGTAATTTTGATAGAGATAAGAAGCAAATCCCCAAAGTGCTTGAAGCATAACAATTATCTTGACACCATTCATCTTGTCATGGAAGGCGATGACAGAAGCAATAGGACCGACAACCAATGCCACAGTACTTATAACATTCGAAAACAATGAAGAAACCAAAAATATCAAGCCTACCACACCAACTGAGCACACCTGCCAACATACAGCGGTCCAGACCAGAGTCAACACATAAGAAGCTTTCCCGGTGTGGAAACCATGCATTTCTCCTTCTAATGTCCTCCACTGCCCACTTATAAATAAGGCAGCAACCGAAATTATAGTTGCAACTATTGACGGATAGATTTGCATCTCTAAAACAACAGAGAATGAAACTTTTTTCAGTGCCTTTTGAAAGGCAAGCTGCATCAGTGAAAGCAAGAGCGAGTAGATAGCTGAAGCTCCAATGGTGCACATAAATCCGATGGCATAGTGTACCTTGCTCATCCCTTCTGGTGCATCAGAACTCTCGTTGACCCCTAGCAGAGCTGCAGAGTATGAAAGAATGACTACAGCATTTAGAATCAACGGGGTAAATTTCTGGGAATTGATGAAGTAAGCAAAGATAGCATTGAAAGCTAATTGGGTAGAACAAATGAGAGAATATGTGGAGGCAGAGAGATATAAGAGTCCATACGAATACAGCAAATTGTCACCCGCAAGAACTATTCCTAGGGAGATATATATTAAGCATATATACTTTCCAGAAATTGAATCAGATGGGGTTGGAGAATTGGCGGGAGCTGGAATTAATAGAAGCGGGATAAATAGGATAGGAAACCCAGCAGTTTGAACAAGGGTGGCCATTAACGTGCTAGATCCACCCTTGTCATAATAAAATCTTCCTAAAAGTACAGCAGCAGTTTGTCCTGCTACAAGAAAGAAAATATTGAGTCCCACCAAAATCCACCATTGCCAACGATTTAGTTTGAATAGTGTTGGCATCACAGTTTGTCCCCCATCTTTAGCCAAGATAGCTTCTCCAACATCTGTTAGAAATAATAGAGCAATGTTCGGAATATAAAAATGACTTGACAGTAATGCAAAAAGACAGAAAAACATAAGTTTCAAGAAATCAGGTAAAGCTTCATTTCTATTAAGGATTACAATATGAAAGAATATAAATCACTAAAAAAAACAGCTTTACTCATTCTAGATTCCAGCAAGCAGATAAATCTAGTATCTGTTTTTAACTTGTGGTTAGGAAACATATATGCCAGATAGATGCAGAGTAGGAAGAAAACTCAGCAGTTAACAGAAAAAAGTTATTCCGAGAGAAACAAACTCAAAAGTCGAAATGCATAACGTATCTTTTCCAGAGGTACAAGAATTGATGATGACTCTAGGGAGGTAGTGGATGATTTTAATCTATAATCAAGGCTACTGGCAAGTAAGGTCATTCTGAAACGTCATTACTTTATTTGCAAACAACATGGTGTGGTGTATTTCAGATAATGCTAAGGAGCTTCAAAGGAACCTAGTTCTGATAATGTCTGATCAGACAGGAGGGCAGGGGATTACTCACTTGCTTAGATAAACATTTGGTCTCTTTTAACTAGTTCAATTAGGTTGAGTCCTGGTAATATTCTGAGAAAGCACGTTTCAATTACATCTGAATCTTATCCCTATCTCAGTATCAGCAAATAAATGTTCTTCCCCATATATTACAAAAAGAGATCATACTCTTTCGTATGCTTCAATTACATACACTAAATTACTCTTTCTTGTTTCTTTCTATAATACTTCACTTGGTATTATAGCACATAACTAGGCACACAAACATCACTAGTTCACTACCATCTTCCTTGAAGGCACAACAGCTTTACCATCCACTGACACCAAAAGTTTGACTCATAATTCATAAGTACCCATCAAAACCACACTCCGGCGCCATCACTTTTCATCAATGCGCACTCCATTACTATTACACGAATTTTCATATCCAACTCCTTCATAGGACAAAACAAATTGTAATTATATAATCATATCCATCCTCATCTCTCCGAGCACAATTTAGAGGAAAACACATTCAGCTTTAGGTTACTTAAACTTATTAGTCAATTGATTTGTGAGCCAATACTAGAACACAATCTTATAACAAAAACATAATCTTAAATGAGCAAATACTAAAACTACCTGATATGCCGATTAAGAAAGTAAATTGATTTTTTTAAAAAATGAAAATTCTGAATAATTCCCCAATTTTTTTTTACAATATTACAAAAAAAATCCAAATTTTATAATCAGTGAGTAAGTCAAAACTCAAAATTAACATGCAAAAGCTTTAAATACACGCCAAATTCCAACAAAATATTCGAATGAATCAAACAAATACAATCGAAGATCCTTAAACCCTAAAAACATAATCAACTGACAAAAATAACAACTCAATTTCGTAATTTCAATCTTAATCGGAAAACCCTATCAATAAATACAGGCAATGATCGAGAACAATGAAAGGTAAAATTTGAAATTGAATAGAGGAGAGAGAAAATTACCAGCAGTTAGAGCCATGACGCAGAGAAAGAGAGGAGAGAGAAAATGGAGGAGAAGAGAGTAGAATGTGAGAGGAGGTTGAGCAGAGATAGAAATAGACGGTAGATAAAAGCGGGAAGTAGGAACTACTGCTAATTGCCACTATTGGTGTTGTGGTCAACGGCGGCTGGCTTTTTCTATTAAACAAGTGCACTTTTTATTTGGAGCTTTTGTTATGTACTCGTAACTTATGTTATACTTTTCGGATATTTTACTGTTTTTGTGATGTTGATGTGTGATGCTTCCGTAACTTTCTCTACTTGTATTTTTTACATTTGCAACGCTAATGCTATGGACGAATGGCGAATCCTTATTTGCTTTATGATGATAACTTAGTTTCGTTAATATAGCCCACAGATTTTTTATGTGCCGCTAGCCACGTTGTATAGCCCAATGTGTGGTTCCTACAGGCGTTGGTACCTTGCATCGTAAAGCCGTTTCGCAAAAAGAACATATTACACATGTAAAGAACATATTGTTGTAATGAAAAGAACATAATATTAAAAAGTAATGAACATATATCTAAAGTAAAAAGAACATATTTATATTAAAAAAGAGTGAAAAGAACATATGTTCATGTTCTTTAATTGTCAGTGTAATGTACTTTTATTTGTGATATAATGTTAATTACTTATTGTGAAATGTTCTTTGATTTTTTTTTTTAAATTATGGTGAATATACATAAATCATGTTCATTACATAATATTTTCATGTTCTTTATAAATATTAGGGATGTTCTTTAGATGTATAAAAAAACATAAAATTGGATGTTCTTTACAAAACAGTTATATGTTCGTTACAAAACAGCTTTATGTTCTTTAAAAAACTAATACATGTTCTTTTCGTGTTTTTTGCCTGTACCTTAAAATTTTCATGTATAGCCGAGATTACTCGATTAATGTTTACTTGAATTCCTCGGCCAGTGGTTGCTTGGGGGTAAGGATGGCAACGGGTCAGACTCGGAGCGGATTATGCTAAATCCGACTCCGACCCGACAGGAAGTCGGAGGTTAAATTCGACTCCGACTCCAATCCGACCCGACCCGACTCTGAGGTTTTTTTTTTCATTATTCAATATACTTTGAGATGTTGGGCTATTTGGGCCTTTACAACCCACACCCAATGCAACCATGAGTCCATGACCCACACAAAAATCCACTATCTATTGGAGTCGGAGTCGCATAATCCGTTAAAGTCGGACATTTGTCGGAGTCGAATTTTTTTTCTCGGATTTTTTGTAGGATCCGACTCTGACCCTCCTCCGACTCGAAGTCGGATTATTTTAACGGAGTCGAACTCGGATTACTTTTTTCTCGGACTCGGAACGGACATTTACCTCGGATCGGGGCAAAGTAGGGTCGGATCCGGACTAGATTGTCATCCCTACTTGGGGGGTTCGGATAGGGTTTGTAAACACAAAATTTTAATTATACAAAATATAGATTCAAAATAAATGAAATAAAATGTTAATTTTATTAATTTGATAATTTAGGATACAATCTCTAATTTGTTCTACTGCACTGACTTGTGATGCGCTTGATGTTTTGAAGTTTATCCTTTAAGAATGACATGTCAAATGCTTGTTGCTCTTCCTCTAGGTTTTGAGAGGTTTTCTTTAGAGAGAGTTGATAGAATGTGCGACTCTAAATTTGTATTAATTAAAATAATATTTGTATTGAGTTTTTGACTTGGTAATTGTGACCCATCTATTATAGCTTAGCCAATTTTGGTAGGTTTCCACAATTATATGAACAAATTAATTAAAATAATTAAAACGGGCTAATTTAATATATATTTCACCCAAAATATTTAATCTACATAAATAGTCAAATAATACCAATGGCATGTTCACATTTACTGAACTGAGCTGAGCTGTACTGAACTGAACTGATTGGAGTTGAATTGAACTGATTGGAGCTGAGCTGAAATGAATATTTTATGAGAGAGGGAAATTAGGAGTTGAACTAAACTGAACTGATTAGAGTTGAACTGAACTGAAGTAAATGTGAACAGGCCCCAAGTCAATAATTTGACTTTTGACTCATATATAACGTGGCACTTGTATAAATTTTACATGCCTACATCAAATTGCCCCCCTTTGAGATTGGTCATGGACATGACTTTGGAGTGTTTAATGTGACCGGGCTCAAAATCGCCTTTTTTTTTCTATATAACATCCAAATCAACTAATTTTAGTTAGCCAAATTTAGCTACTTGCCTTGATATTAGGTCTGAGAGGGTTTGCCTTATCCAATTCCTTTAAGCTTTTGTAATTTAGCTTCTATTGATTTAATATAATCCCCGTCCCTACTTTTCACTAAAAAAAATATACATGCATTTTTTTTCAACATTTATGTTGAATTGCTATTAAAAAAAAAAAAAAAAAAAATTATGTTGAATCATTCTTTTTTTTTTTTTTTTTTTGTAAGAAGATGATATATGTCACATAATGAATCAAAATTATTTAAACTTATTAAAATCATAACAATTTTGAAAACTGACAACAAAAAAGTGAAAACACCTTTTTCTTGTTTTCTATTTTTGATTTTTAGTTTTCTAAAAAAACGGGAAACTGAAAACAAAAAATGATGCCAAGGAATTAAAAAAAAAGACATTGCATTGATTGATGTTTCTACAAATTAGTTACAGAAAATTGTATTAGTGTATCCTCTTTTTTTTTTTTCTTTTTCTTTTTTATGAGAGAGGAAATTTGGGAGCTGAACTGAACTATGCTGAACTGAATTATAATTAAGTAAATGTGAACAGACCCGTAGTGTTTGAAACAAGCATTCGATTTCAAAACTGGATTTTCAATTATTTTTCAATTACTTACCTTCAATTCCAAATAATCTGTTTAGAAAAGCTTAAAATTTTAAATAAATCATTTTAAATTTACTTGGTATATATGATCAAGACTAGCCAATATTTTTTTTCTCTTCTTTTACATGTTCCCCTTCTCATTCTCTCTCCTCCTCTACTATTAATCCTAAATTCGCCAATCTATATATCGACCAAAATTAGTGAAAAATTAGTTCCTAAATCTGCATGTCTTTTGATAACTTTTCCCTTTTTATTTTATTGTTGGAAGGTGAAGGTGGTATCGATGAAGGTTTGCCGACGTGGCAGTGATGGAAGCAGTTTATAGTGGATAAGAGAGAGAGAGAAGTTAGCCATTATTAATGGTGACAAAAGATCGACTCGATCGACAAACGTTTTACTAATTCTATAAACCGAATTTTATTATTGAAGGCTAGAATTTAAGTCAAATCCAAATGCAAATTCTCAAAATTCCCAAACAGGTTATTTGGAACAAATCCATCATTTGAATGAAATGATAGTTTCCAAACAGTCCATTATATAAATTGCAATTAGTGGTTCATGTAGGCGCCGGTACGCTGCATTGTACAGCCGTTTTGCATGAAAGAACATAATATAGAAAAGTGAAGAACATATAACTATAATGAAAAGAACGTACTATTAAAATGTAATGAACATATACCATTCAGTGAAAAAAACATATTTACACCAAAAAAAAGTGAAAATAACATATGTTCATGTTCTTTGATTATCTGTATAATGTGCTTTTAATTGTGACATAATGCTCATTGCTTATTGTTAAATGTTCTTTGAATTTTGTCTCCAAATTATAGTGGGTATATATAAATAATGTTCATTATATAATATTATCATGTTCTTTATTAATATTACATATGTTCTTTAGATTATATATAAAAATAAAAAATAAAGCTGAATTTTTTTACAAAACAGCTATATGTTCTTTATAAAACAGTTGTATGTTATTTATAAAACATATACATGTTCATTCCGCGTTTTTTTTTTTCTGTACCAAGCATGGTACAGTCGCCTGCACCTTAAAATTTTCATATAAATTGTTAATCTATAATCAAGGCTACTGGTAATCATTAAGGTCATTCTGAATTGTTATAGCTTTATTTGCAAACAACATAATGTTGTGTATTTCAGATAATGATAAGGAGCTTCAAAGGAACATAGTTATGATAATGTCTAATTAGACATGAAGGCAAGGATTACTCACTAACATAGATCAACATTTGACCTCTCTTAACTAGTTCAATTAGGTTGAGTATCTGAAAAGCACATTCAAATCATATTTGAATTTTATCCTAGGAATATAGTTATGATAATGTCTGATTAGGCAGGAAGTACTCGCTAACATAGATTAACATTTGGTCTCTCCTAACTAGTTCAATTAGGTTGAGTCTATGAAAAGTACATTTCCATCATATTTGAACTTTATCCTCACTTTATTAGCATTGGCAAATAAATGTTATATCCCATATATTACAATTCAATAAGAGATTGCAATAAAATTGAAGCTTTCTATTCGCCTTACCCTTTAGCGTCTTTAGTTCGGCTAATAATCTAGAAGTAATTATTTTTGAGTGATTTTTTTTTTTTCCTTTCAATCTTCTTAAAATAAACTACGTGTCAAATAAAATTTATCAGATATCATTGAAAATTTTATAAAATATTTTAATAAAAATATATTAGACTGCATTTTAAAAATGCACCGTATCCTCTACTTTTGAAACACCCGTACTCGTATTCGTTTCATATCCGTATCCGATTTCGTACCCATTCTAGTGACCGTAGCTGATTAACTTTGTAGTCCAGCCGATTATTTTTTTTTTACATAAAAACAGGAGAAAATATTTTATAAAACCCGTACTGCCGGGTTTCAGGAAACCACAGAGTAAACAGGCTAAACTTGTAATAAGTTGCATTAATAACACCGAGTATTCAGTTTGGTTTTCGATCACTCGGTTTTCGTGACTAGGCTCTTGATCTCCTCCGTCAAATATTCCTTTCTTTGTGATTTCCTCCGTCAATTGAGGTTTGTAAATCGTTTCCATACTATAATTCAATCAATGTTTTTCTATAAATTAAATTCGTTTGGAAATTGGAAGCAATATAAGATTGTCATATTTTCTCTCAAATTGTAGAGGTGGATGAAAGATATGCTGTTTCTTGGAGAGGAATCGGCGAAAAATTGGTATGTTTCTCCCTTACGCTTGGATGTTTATAATTTTTGTGGTATTGTTGTATATTCTTGTATGGAAAGAGGTGGATTGATGCCATTGATGGAGTTTGTTTTGTGGCTGATTTGGAACGAACGAAATATCTTGGTTTTTAATTATAGGCGGATGGATGTTGTGGGTTGTATTCAGGAAGCGTCAGTGATTGTTGGGGAGTACGAAACGGCGGAGATAAGATGTTCGAGATTAGGGGTTAGTTGCCCTAGCCCCACGGGGTGGTCACCCAAGTTTGAAATTAGACTAGACTCGACCTCACTGAACCCGAACCTGACCCGGACACCTGACTTATAAATGGGACAATCTTAAAGTGAAAGAGGGTAAAGCCCGTAGTTGACACAATCTAATATCCCCACATATTTTACCATACACAAAAGTTAGGGGATGCAACACATCTAAATTCTAATTGTAGTTGCATGTTATAAGTACATACATACTGATATACATGTAATTTATTTATATTGAATAAAAGGGTAAGAGTATTTCATTACCATCATGAATACAAGGTTACAATATTTATAATACAAGAGTATCTGCTAAAGATAGGTAGCACTAACTAATTAAAGAATAAAATATATATAATACAATAAGAATATTGGGAGAAGATAATAATATACAATAATAGAATATCACAAGATATTTGCATGATCAAAAGATGTATGATAAGCATAAATTACGGTTGTGATATCAAGGAGAATAATATCAATATACTTCCTTGATATTATCTCCAATATGCCCCCGCAAGACGGACGGTGTCGGTGAGTCCGATCTTGATAAAGAAAGTATCCAACCGTGGTCTAGATAATGGCTTTGTAAGAAAATCTGCAAGTTGATCACCAGTGGGTACATGAACAACCCGTAGAGCTTTCTTTTGAACTTGTTCCCGGATGAAATAGTAATCGAGAGCTAAATGTTTCATTCTTGAGTGAAATACTGGATTTGCGCTTAGATGAGTAGCACTTAGATTATCACAATATATAACCGGTGTGTGTGACAAACGAACACCTAGCTCGGTTAAAAGATTATGAATCCACATAAGTTCAGCTGTAGTCGATGCAACTGACCTGAACTCAGCTTCTGTTGATGAGCGTGCTAGTGATTTTTGCTTTTTCGAGCTCCATGTGATAGGATTTCTACCAAGGAAGACTATGTGACCCATTGTAGAGACGTAGTCATCACGATCACCCGCCCAATCCGCATAGAAAGCATGTAGTGTAAGAGGAGAGTCACGATATATATTGACACCTTTGTCAAGAGTGCCACTAAGATATCGCATAAGCCGCTTTAGAGCAGTCCAATGATCATTGGTTGGACAATGCATGAATTGTGAGAGCTTGTTAACAGCAAATGCTACATCGGGCCTAGTGAGAGTAAGGTACTGTAGGCTTCCAACTGCAGCTCGGAAGTCTTTTGGTTCCTCCAAGGGAACCCCTAATGCAGATAAATGTTGTGTAACAATTAATGGTGTGGGCACAGGCTTAGTGTCAAGCATGCCCATGCGATCGAGAAGATCAATGATATATTTCCGTTGATTGAGAAATAATCCAGACGAAGTAGGCTGAACCTCTACCCCGAGAAAGTAAGAAAGTGTACCCAAGTCCTTCAAGGAAAATCGAGTTGCAAAATTCTGAATGAAACCATCAAGAAAAGCGATATCCGGACCTGTAACAATAATATCATCCACGTACACAATTAGATAGATAGGTGTAGTAGAGTGATGTAGTATAAAGAGTGATGTGTCGGATACACATCGTTTAAATCCTTTTTCGATCAAGAAATTTGTGAGTTCTGTGTACCAAGCCCTTGGTGCTTGCTTGAGACCATAAATAGCCTTCTTTAGTCTGCATACATGAGTAGGAAAATTAGCATCAATAAACCCGGGAGGTTGAGACATGTACACCTCTTCATGTAAAGTTCATTGTAAAAATGCATTGTTTATATCGAGTTGGCGAAGATGCCAATTTTGAGTGACTGCTAGGCTTAAAAGAGTACAGATGGTGGCCGGTTTGACAACCGGACTGAATGTCTCAGAATAATCAATACCCGGGCGTTGTTGAAAGCCCTTTGCTACCAAACGAGCTTTGTAACGCTCAATTGAACCATCTTTATTGTATTTGATACGGAAAACCCATTTGCATTTCACAATATTACGAACCGTATCAGATGATGTTAAATCCCAAGTACCAAGTTTGTGTAAGGAAGCAAGTTCTTCTTCCATGGCTTTCCTCCAAAGAGGATCTTTTAAGACTTGCTTAACAGAGGTTGGGGTCACTGGTTTGGAAGCTATGGTTGTTGTATGGGCATATTTTGGGTTTGGTTTAAAAATATTATTTTTTGATCTGGTAATAATACCTTGATTTGGGTTAAGGGGTGGGTGGTCAGTTAATGGGTTGGTTGGATTAGGGGTAATTAATGTGGATGGTGAATGAGCTGAGGTGTCATTGGTTAGTGGGTCTTGAATTGGAGTATGACTTGTGTGAGGTGAAGAGTTATACGTAAGATGAGGAGTGTTAGGTAAGGATGTGGGCCTTGGTGTAGGTGAAGGACTAGGAGTGATAGATTGTGGGCTTGAATCTGGTAACATGGGTTGGTGGGCCGTGGGTAATGGTGGAGAAGATGGTGAATGAGAGGTGATGATGTTAGGTTGGGCGTGGATTAGAGGAGTAGAGTTGTTGGCAGATGCATTTGAAGAATAAGGAGGAGTTGATGGTGTAGGGCCTGGTGAGTCCGGATGTTCATCCGTAGGTCTATGCACCGGGTTGTGTAAGATTGGTAATGTGATTGAACACCAAGTATCCGAATCAGGAATAGAGGCAGTGGTATCCTTTTTTAGAAGGAGTGTATGAGGAAATTCGGTTTCAACAAACCGAACATGCCTAGACACATAAACCCGATTTGTAGTAGGATCTAGACAATAGTAAGCACTTTGAGTTTTAGAATAGCCAATAAAAATGCATGGTTTGGATTTTGGATCAAGCTTGTGAGATGTGTATGGCTTAAGCCAGGGGTAACACAAACACCCAAAGCTCCGTAATTTCAAGTAATTAGGAGCAAACCCGAATAAACAATGATACGGAGATTTATGTGATAAAGTCGGCGTAGGAAGCCTATTTATCAAATAAGAGGCAGTGGAAAAAGCATATGACCAATAAGAAAGAGGTAATTGAGCATGAGAGAGGAGAGAGAGGCCGGTTTCAACAATGTGTCTATGACGGCGTTCTGCAAAACCATTGTGTTCGGGAGTGTGAGGGGGAGAGGTAAGATGAGATACACCATCAATAGTCAAGAAAGATGCTAAGGCCTCATATTCACCCCCATTATCTGAGTATAATATTTTGATAGCCCTTTCAAAAAATTTCTCAACTAGAGCTTTAAAACGAATAAAAACGGCTTTAGTGTCGGATTTATTCTTAAGAGGATAAAACCAAATATATTTAGTGTAATGATCAACAAAGATAACATAGTACTTAAAGCCATCAAGAGAGTGGATTGGAGCAGTCCATAAGTCAGTGTAAACGATATCAAGAGGAGATTGAGAAAGCAAAGTAGAATGATTAAAAGGAAGTTTATGACTTTTATTGCATTGACAAGCATTACAATTGAAAGTCAATGAGCTAGAGACATCTAGATTGAAATCTGATATAATTTTCTTAAAAATAGGTAAAGACGGATGGCCAAGTCGGTGATGCCAATTTATTGCCGAAGATTTGATAGAGGAAAAGGCTGAAATGAGTGAAGGGGATGACAACTCATATACCCCGTGTTTAGTTGGACCCTTGATAAGATGTGCCCCCGTGAGCCGATCCTTCACAAGAAAAGAATCAGAAGAGAATTCAACGAGTAAGTTATTATCAAAACATAATTGAGAAATTGAAATAATGTTGCGTGTCATAGAGGGAGCACATAAAACATTAGATAAATGAATGCGTTTAGAGGAAGTAGGGAGAAAAAGTGAGCATGTGTGTGTAATGGATACTCCCATCCCATTACCTATGACAATCTCCTCAGTACCATCATACGGGTGGTGAAGAGAAAGATTGGAAAGATCATGAGTGACATGGTGAGAGGCCCCTGTATCCAAGAGCCAATTTGTTGGTTGAGATGTGGCAGCGGTAGTAGCTACATGTGCTTGCGGTGGACGTTGAGAGGTAGAAGACGGTGGCAGAGTAGGCTTAGCATTAGGAAATTTTTCCTGAAAGATAGGGCAGCGGTATAAGGAATGACCAAGTGTATGGCACCATTGGCATTTGCCTTGGTAGCCCTGAGGTTTGGTATTGGTATTGGTTTGGTTGTGCTTCTTATAAGGAGCAGCAGACTTGGGTGGATTGGGGAAAGAGTTGCGATTGTAGGAATCAGTAGAATAAGTGTTTGGGGGATGAGAGCGAGTGGTGGTAGCATGAGCGGTGACCGGTAGCGGGGTAGATGTAGAGGTCTTACGGATACTGACTTCTTTGATAAGAAGCTTCTCATGCAATTCATCGAAGCTAATTACGGTATCACGACCATTGACAGAGTCAATCACAGACTGATATTTATCATCATCTAGACCTTCGAGTACGCGCTCTATGAGATCATCTGGTTTGTAAGGTTCGCCGAGGACGGCTAACTGATCTGCACATATGCGAATTGCATTCATGTACTCGGTGATTGTTTGAGTACCCTTTGTGATAGACTTCATGTTAGCTTTAACAAGCTTAGCATGACCACGAGAATGACGAGCAAAAGTGTGGGCAAGAATATCCCATGCCTCCTTGGTGGTAGTAGCACGTGAGACAAGGGGGACGATAGACGAATCTAAGGTTCCAATCATGGAACCAAATAGGAGTTTGTCTTGTCTAACCCATGTAGTATATGCTGGGTTTGATGAAGAGACGTTATTAGTGGTGAGTGTCGAAGGCGGTGCGGCATGTGAACCATCCAAGAACTTGAAAAGTCCATAGCCAATTAGAGTGGATTCAAGCTGCAATTTCCATGAAAGGTAATTGGTATTTTTGAGCTTAATGATATTAGTGAGATCAACAACAATCAAAGGGTGGGTGGGTTCAATATCATTAGGAATGGTAGCACCTCCCATTATGCGTAGAGTAGGAAAAAAAAAATGTTTAGGATTCTTCCTGTTCTGATACCATGAAAGGGTAAGAGTATTTCATTACCATCATGAATACAAGGTTACAATATTTATAATACAAGAGTATCTGCTAAAGATAGGTAGCACTAACTAATTAAAGAATAAAATATATCTAATACAATAAGAATATTGAGAGAAGATAATAATATACAATAATAGAATATCACAAGATATTTGCATCATCAAAAGATATATGATAAGCATAAATTACGGTTGTGATATCAAGGAGAATAATATCAATATACTTCCTTGATATTATCTCCAATATTGAATTCATCTAAAATGAAATGGCCATTCCTTTTCTTTTGAATTGAAATTTTGTGTATTTTCTTGTTCATTTAAAAAAAAAAAAATATCTGAATAATCACACTTTTGTAATCGGATCTTCAGATAATGATAAATTCTCTTTTTTCTCCGGCTTGCAACAATTTTATTTGCTTCAATGGTAACTGGATACAATCATTACCTATAACGCGTGGCATTGCATTCCCTAAAGGCTGTACTACCAAAGTATCTGCAATGTCTGGGAATGTATTCAAGTGGGCAAACTCAGACGACAGTGATTCTTCTACCTCATCACCTGCGCTGTCTCTTACTCCCAATTACATCCTTCCTGTGGAAAGAAGGCCAAATTTAGCTGAAGTGTCCAAGTCAGGTGACAGTGTTCCAATAATAGATATGGGAAGGGGAGATATCGACAATCTTGTCAAAGAGATAGCAAGAGCATCTGAGGAGTACGGACTTTTTCTGATCATAAATCACGGTGTAACAGAAGAGCTTTGTGAAAGCATGTTGTCTGCTGTTACTGACTTATTTCATCTTCCTCCTCAAGTTAAGGCTCGTCTTGTGTCAGATGATCCTACTAAAGATGTAAGGATTTGCAATCATTTCCGAAAAGCTGAGGACAAGGGCAACCAAATGGCTAAGAAATTTAGCATGTGGAGTGAGGTTTTTAAACACTCTTGGCACCCGGCTGATGACAGTTTTGCTGAACTTTTGCCATCAGATCCTCCAAACTACAGGTATGCATCTTGAGCATTGCGATTGGTTAGTTATTGCATAAGAGATATGGACTAGGTTGATATTTCTGAACATTCTGATTATAGTTCATTGTTTTTTTCTTGGCTTGTAATTGGTGGTTCAGTTTTTAGTTTATTGGGATTATGTTATGTATTTGTACTACTTCCATTCTTATGCACAATTGATTTTGTTATTGTAGGAGGGTAGTGACTGCATATGCTAAAGAAATCGGATTTGTCATGAGTTTGCTTCTGAATTTGATGTCACAAGGTTTGGGACTGGAGGGAGATGTTTTACAAGATAGGTTAGGGAAAAATCCCTTGTTTAGGGCTCAAGCAAATTACTACCCACCTTGTTCAAACCCGGATCTTACACTCGGATTGGGTGTTCACACTGATAGAGATGCACTGACGGTTGTGCTACCAACTTCAAATGTGGAGGGTTTACAGATCATGAAGGACAACAAATGGATTGTGGTTGATCCTGTTCCAAATGCTTTAATTGTTAATATAGGCGATCAATTGCAGGTTTGTTAATTTTCTATTCATATTTCTACAGTTCTATGATCCTTTAACCTGGACTATTTCAAACAATGCTGTTTGAAAGCAATACTCTGACGTCTACCTTCATGTCTCACTTTCATTTTGTCTTTCTGCCTTTGGATGTAGGTTTTAAGCAATGGTAAATATAAAAGTGTGCTGCATAGAGTAGTGACTAATGAACACCAAAGTAGAGTGTCACTGGCAATGTTTTATGGCCCAGACAAAGACGCTTTAATTGGCCCAATTGAGAATTTGATCGACAATCAGCATCCTCAACTCTATCGGAATTACTACTTTAAGGAATTTCTTGTAGTCTATAGAAACCAGGAAGGGAAGAATCGCAAGATCAAAGAGTTTTTTGAGATTTAATGGTAGATGGCGACTTGTTTGACAGGAATGCAGTTTAACTTAAGGTAGATTCAACTTAAAGGAGGTTGATTAGATTTAGCTAGGTCTGTTAGTAATTCAATTTAATGTTGGAATGTATATAAATTAATAATATTGCTTTAATTATAACCTTTTTATCATTAAATGATCAGTTGGTGTTCTTTTTCCATGTACAAGTAGACTAAAATTTAATGAATATTGGTAAGAGTTGAGAATACAAATGATAAGTTGCAGGCTTACAAGTTACAGCACAAGAAGCTCTGTTTTTCTTATTTCCTTTCGACTGTGGAAGAAAGGCAAAAGCATTTTATTCATAATACTGGACATGGAAACAGGGAGAACATCGTAAAGAATATGAGATAAGCCTAGGAACAGAGAAACTATTGTTTCACCTAAATTTTTTATAATTTCTATGAACAAAAAGGTTCTCCACAAAGCAAGAGAAATGGAATTGAACATAAATAGCTTAATTTTGTGTGATCAATACATATTGATATTGAATAGCACAAGGATATGAATTTTTTAGTTCCGGCTGTAATTGTATGACTGACAAGCACCAAAACCTTCCTTTTTTTTTTTTTGAATACACACCAAAACCTTCCTAATACCCACATATAAATTCGTTAATAATACTACTCTTTAGTGTTGGAGATGAATTAATCTGGAGTAGTTATTTGCATCCTTCCATAATCACGAATAGGCAAGTGCATCTTTTCTCACCCTTTAGGCGGAAGAGTAGAGAAGACATCTGCTTTCCAAGGGAAGTTGTCTAGTTTATGGAGGCCATCTGCTGCTTCTTGAAGCCAACTGGGTTCAAAAAGAAACATGTGATCCCAATAATTTGAAATTTCCACTTCCATCTGAAATCATTGGGGCAGAGCAAGTCTTGTGCAACTTCATAATTTCTTCAAGCTCTTTGCTATAACATACTTCGTATTAATTTAGCCTCCTAAAGAAAAAGAATAAGAAAATTTAAGAATTTTTCAGAATGAAATACATGACTTTTTAGTTTGCTGTATGTTGACCGGTAGAGTGATTATTTCTGAAAATAAAGGTGCAAACTGTAAAGCCTTCAACTAGACATGCATATCTCATGAAATGGGGAAAATGGGGAAGTATATCTAATTTAACCAGAATTCAAGATAAGAGTTTAAGGAAGACGAGATTACCACATCTCAAATTATTCGGGAATTAGATGAGAAACACTGCAGAAATTTCAGAGCATTGACGTTAAACATCATAACGTGCTAACTTGTGCAATTGTCCTCCAAAACTCTCAAAGCCAAGTCTCAATTGCCTTGCTAACATTTAAAAAGCAAGTGAGCAATGAAGCAGCATAATGTGAGAATCAGGTGCTGCTGTTATGTTTCTGTCCAAAATATCCTGGCTGTCTTTCCACTGCTCCAAACAGCACATACCTAAAACTGAGGAATAAAGTGACAAGTCTGATGACATAGGGCAAAATGTGCTTGCCTAATATCTCTGCAAAAATTTAGGGGCTTGAGAATTGATATAATAATTGGTCCTTATAAAGGCCATCAATGATGACATAATGTAAAGTACCAGACTTACAGGTCCATGAGACCACATCTCCTTTAAAAGCGGAGAGCACCAACATTCTTGTTGTTCTGCAAAGACCTTGTACATAGAATCACAGACAACCAAGTCAGGTTGAATTCTAAACATGACAATCTTATCCAACAACATATTAACAAGAATAAGACCATCGACCAAGGACATAACCATGACATGTCAACTTGTCAAGCTAATAACCTATTTAAGGCTTTTTACCAACAAGGAAGAAGCAGGCTTGATAATCTGTATGTACCATGAGGCAGTAACAATTGGCAATGGTAGCAACTGAATAATTTACTGAGATATGTGAGCTGGCAGTGGAAACAGAAGATTGAACTAAACAATCCCATACAGAGAGTGGTCAAGAGTTTCTCTTGAAATATTAAGACTGAATACTTTGTAAATTTTGAGAAATTAATACATACGTGTGGTCGTGTGGAAGTCTAATGATATTGCTACTAGCAAAGTTGGCACTATTTCTGCCATATTCCGGACAATGTTGGCAATATATATGTCTGCTTTCTGTAATAGACTAACCTAAGGAGGGGCAGTATGGGTATTCTAGTCATATTTTACTAGGTTAATAGTCCTTAGTATATAAAGAGAGAGAGGGGAAAGAAAATGGTAGGAAATATTTGGAGTGAATCCTTTTGAGATTTGTGACCTCAATTCATTACTATGAGATTTGTAGGCGAAACCTACAACCTTTTGTAAGAAACCATCAGCAAGTTTAATACAATTCAAGCTTTCAGCCTTAAATTTCTGCTTATTTATATAAATATAAAAATCAGATTATCCAGTCCATTACACTTTCTTCACCAAACTGTTTATGGGTCATTATGATTAGTTACTATTAGATAATGGTGCAAAACTAAAATTAGTTTCTCATGCTCATAATATGACACAGCCACATCAAAAGAATTAAATATATAAACAAAATGACATTACCAGAATGCGCAAGTTGAACGTAGGAAATTTTACCATGCAACAGCCAACAGATGCTTTGACCAGAGAGCTTATGGAATAGAGATCTTATCATAACATTGACACCTTTAAGCTGTTTACTTGTGCTTCTGATTCTTTAGAAACTCTTGAAACAAAGCTTTGTCTGCATCGCTGACATTGTGATCAGCAAATGAGCCACTTAACAGCGAAGTACTGTGACCATCAAGTGGAAACCCTTTGCTAGTTTTAATTATGACAAACTCTAAAGCCTTTTTGAGATTATTGGTTGAAAGAAAACCATTTATAATTGCATTATAGGTAAAATCATCCGGAGAGCAGCCATTGTCTTCCATTTTCTTTAATTCTTCAATAGCATCGTTCGGTAAACCATTTTTACAGAGCCCCTTAATCATTGCATCGTATGTATATTTGTCAGGTTTTAAACCCTTAGCTAGGAGAGAAGAGAAGATATCCCTTCCTTCTTCAAATCGCCCAACTGCACAAAGGCCTTCAATTAGTATACTGTATGTGAAAATATCAGGGACCACTCCGATTTCACTCATTTGTCTCACCATTTCCAATGCCTCATTAACCTGTGAACTTTTACAAAGATGATCAAGCAATGAATTATAAGTATATACATTTGGTTTTACGCCTTGAGCCTCCATTTCCTTGAGAAGCTTTCTTGCAGATTGTAGTCTATTCTCCTTGCATAAGGCATCTATAAGAGTGCTATATGTGACAACATCAGGTTTTAAACCTCTAAGCAGCATATCCTGGACCAAGTCTAGGACTTTGTCAACCTTCTTAACCTTGCAATATCCATTTAACAAGCTGGTAAAAGTCAGAATATTAGGCACAAAACCATTTTTCACCATTAAATCCATTATTTTTGAGGCTTCATCCATTTGACCACATGAACTATATCCATCCAACAGAGAAGTGTAAGTAATAATATTTAGAGCATCACCCCGCTTATTCATCAGTCCCACTACAGCTTCTGCCTCCTTAACCTTCACTTGTTTGAAACACATGTCAATCAACATGCTGTAGATCGTGACATTGAGAGCTATCTTACTCTCCAACATCTCATTCAACAATATCTTTACATCCATCCACTTCCCCAAAGTGCACATCCCTCGAATCAAACTACTATAAGTATAGACATCAGGCGGAACACCCTTGCTTTTCATGTCGGAAAAAAGGTTAACAGCCTGAGGTAAAAGCTTGTCTTTACAAAGACTATCAATAATGGTGCTATATATGACGACATTAGGATTACAAGAGCTAAACCCAGAATTCATCATTGCCAGCAATCCAAGCGAATTGGCGTAGTTCCCTATCCTACAAAGACCTTTGATCAAAGCACCATAGGTAACAATAGTGGGTTGAAACCCTAATTTGACAATTTTATCCAACAATCTAACAGCTTCCTCCAACAAATTAGCATGAATGAGGCCATTTATAAGGGTAGTAAAGGTCACAATACTAGGTTCATACCCAAGCTTAATAATTTTCCCTAAAATCGAAAACCCGAAATCAACACGACCCAAACAGGAGTAACAATTGATAAGGACGTTCAAAGAATAAAGATCACAAGAAACACCCAACAATTGCAATTGTGCAGATAGAGAAATTACAGTTGAATAATTAATGGGTTCTTTAGGTTTAACCTTAATCATAGAACACAATATGAAATTAAAAGTAACAGCAGAAGGAAGAGGATTCATACGAGTCATTTGATGGAAGAGAGATACAGCATCATCGAGCTTGTGGAAACCATGTCTGCATTGTTGTATCACTGAATTGAGGAAGAATTTGGGGTTTTGTTCTTTATTTGGGGAGGAGAGAGAACTGAACAAAGGGTAGCAGAAAGAAAGAGAAGTAGGAAGACGAAGAAATGTATTTCCGCCATTAATGGAAGTTGAAGCTTTTGCAGTAATCAATCTTCCAACTGCAAGTTTATTGTTTGCCATTCTTGTGAAAGTTGAAGGGGGTGTAAATGTGTAATAATAAATTAATAAGATTGAATTGAAATCCTTAATTTGTTGAGGGTTTAGGGTTTTAGGTAGAAACTAGCCTTTTGAAGTTTAGGCTAAGTGGCTTAGTACTAGCTAAGTATGCTAAGTTGCTAACCCATGTTTATTCAATGAGTCTATGACGGCTTTGAATCATTGCTTGGAATTAGGGTCTGCATATATGAGACCAATATGAAATACTCCGTAAAACTAACATAATAAAGTGTAACTATGATAAGCTTACTTCAAATTACAAATTGTATGGATGATATGAATGTAAATACCAACCAATTTAGTTGGTTTAAGTTTTAGTGTAATGCCCTAGAGCTAATATTGAATTCGTCTACATCATTGACATTTTGATACGCTCACCAAAAATAAAAATAAAAAACTTTTAATTAATTAGTTAGCTTTGAGATAAAATACTACGGAGTACTATAAACTATAATCATCATGTATTGGATTTAGATATATAGGAATAATAGGATATATGAATATATGATAACCATAAAGCCTTAGAGCATAGCCAATGGTGGTCATCATATTTTTTATTACTTTCTCTCTCTTCCACCTCATTTATGCCCAACTTCCATGCCCATACACTCACATTGGTTGCCCTCCAAATTTGTGGGTATTGATTCTCCTTTCCTTCCATTCCCACGTGAGTCTTCATCAATTGAAAAAAAAAACTAAACCTCCTCTCTTTGTTGGACAAGTGGCGAACTACCACTAAATGCTCACACTCAACAAATGGTCATGGCCATGACCTAGTCATGAATCATTTCTCTCACTTCATGCCCACCCAAAATGGGCAACCATTGGCTATACCCTTTAGTAGCTTTCATAAATGCTTAGTAGTATTTGGATTTAAATCGGCTAATTTTCACTTGAGATTCTTAATTTTATTATACGGAATACGTCTCATCTTGCAACCCATTATTACACTCACCAAAACATTAGATATACTTACAGCTGTCAACGGCTAACCCGACCCGAAATACCGACCCTAACCCGACCTATTAACTGACTCGTCTGAACCCGAAAAAAAATGGAGACCCGAAACGACCTAACCCGACCTGAAACCAACCCTATACCCGTGTTTTCCCGAGTATTTGAGACCCGAATTCGAACATTAACCAACCTAGAGACGACCCGACCCGAATGTAACCCATAAATTATTGACCTGAACCGAAATTGACCCAAACCCGTTTTAACCCGTCAAAACCCGAATTCAACTCGACCTGTTCCTAACCCGACCCGAATTCAACCCGGCTTGTTCCTAACCCAACCCGAATTTAACCCGACTTGCTATAAACCCGACTCAAATTTCAACTCGACCTGATACAAACCCGACCTGAATCAACCCGACTTGTTATTGACCCGACCCAAATTCAACCTGACTTGTTATCGAATCAATATGTATAGATCGTTATCTCATGTTGGTATTGGAACGAAAATTGAGTCCTAACTCTATTCCTTCAATATTTCACTTTGAATTTTAAGATGTTAGTTTCACAACATGTTTTTAGGGACGAAACATGATTTCCGCAAATTATTGACTTGAACCGAACTCGACTCGAACCCGAGAATGACCCGACTTGGAAATGACCCGACTTGATTATAACCCGCAAATTATTGACTTGAACCAAACCCGAAAATGACCCGACCTGATTATAACCCGTAAATACTTGACTTAAACCGAACCCGACTCGAACCCGAGAACGACCCTAACTCGTTTAAACCCGTAAAGACCCGAATTTAACCCGACCTATTTTTCACCCGACCCGAATGTAACCCGACCTTTTGGACCCGACGTGACCTGAATCAAGCATGACCTAACCTGAACCCGACCTGCATATGTTATGACATTAACCCGTATTAACCCGACCCGAGATGACCCGACTCACACTAACCCGACTCAAACCCGACCCGTTTACCCGAATTAATAGCTCTAGATATACTCCGTATTCTATTTTTTTTTTTTTTTTTTTAAAAAAAAAAAAAAAAAAAACACTCCATATTATTTATGTGACAACATGCCCAAAATATCAGTAGCATTTTTAATTAAGTCAATAGTCGAAGAGCACTTTGACCTACAATAGTGACTGTAAGTACAAAATTACATACCAGTAGTCCATTAATAGTTCAGAATTCAGTTAATACAACAGTTCAACCTGCTTGGAACATATGAAAGCAGGAAACTATCAAAACCATATCATATATGCTGGCCCTCCAACTCCTTCTGTACATTTGCAACATACTTTGTACAAACATTAAGCTTCCTCTAGAACTTTAAATAATTCAAGTGAATAATCCATTTTCTACCTTGGAAACACATTGAAAAAAAAGAGTAAGAAAAATGCAATGAGCAAGTGTTATTTTCAATATAGGAAAGCCTCCAAGCAGTATTTGTCTCCAAATGTTTCAGAAGAATCAGAACCATCATAGCACAGCGCTTACATCTGAAAATAATGGTATATACACGTGATCAGACATAAAACAAGCTCTAATATGTTGAAGAGAAACAGATAGCACACTAAGGCAATTAACTATCTATCATGCAACTCAACTAGCAGAGCTATTCCTTGCATAATTCTGTAAAATTTATCAAACCCTTTGCTACAACAACATAGTTAAAGTGTCCTCAAGAGAAAGATATCCATGCAACTAACTTGTAGATTTGAAAACATAAGGATTCTGATATGCAAATAAATAAACCACCTAAGCTGTCACATGAAAGCTGAATGGGCAATCCTCTGAACTGCAGCTGTCACATTAAAGAAGAAATGCTTATTCTTTTAAGTAATTTCACTTGTTACTTAGCCAAGCCAATTATTATCCAGACAATAGAAAATGATCTCCTTCCTCTCAGCTCCCACCTTTCCTCTTCCTTTCATATCCTTGTGAAGAACATCAAAGACTTCATTATTATATGAATGTTAGAAGCATGTTTCATGGGAATTTACGAGGAACAGCAAAATGTTTGGAAGATCTTACACCAAGATTTATATGCACAGCACTAAGTATAGAACGACACAGGGTTAATAAGCTAAACTCGTGTCCAAAATTACATCTACCTACCTAAGAAAGTAGCCTAGGATACCATATCACCTAGCATTATAGCATTAATTGGCTAGAGCTAAGCATACAAAGAAATGCATATACTAATACTTCAAACACCGTATAGCATAGTTGGGCATCATGGACAAAATTAATTATGGAATACCCTGCTTGATTCACCTCTCAATAGCAACGTTGTAATGATACAAAGTTGAACAATTGTCTATAGGGACTTGCCTATCCAATTTACTCACAGAAACTTAATCCTTCCCTTCTGCCTAATTCTCTCACCACCTTGTCAAAAATATAAAAAAACCTATCTACACAAGAAGCACAGATTTGTATGATTCATAAAATGGGGTAGTATATTTACTTAAACCAGATAATGGAAAATGAGCAAGAAAGAATACTATGTTACAAAACTTTCAACAAGTAAACCTGAGGAATAGCATGAAGCAGATTTACCACAATCAGAAAATTGACATCTAACAGCATTAAGCAGCTTAGTCAATTTCTAAAATCATTCGAAACCAAGTCTTTACTGGCATTACTTACATAGCGAGCAGAAATCAAGTGATGAAGCAGCAAAGTTGTACATGCGTCAGGTGCAAGGCCTTTGCTACTCATGATTCTGAAAAAACTGGGATGCCTTTTGGACATCATTACCACAAAGAAATCCTCTGATAATCATATTTTAAGTTCAATCATCTGGAGAACAGCCATTATCCTGCAATTCAAAAGCATCATTAAGTAACCCTTACAAACATCTCTCAATCATTACATTGTATCTGTAATTGTTTGGTTGTAATACCTTAGCTCGGAGTTAAGACAAGATTCCCAATGCTTCATCGAGTCGCCAACTTGACAAAGGCCACCAATTAGGATATTGTAGGTGACAATATCAGGGATTACTCCACTAGTGGTCATTCCTTCCAGCCTCCCATCAATTTGTGAGCATTTACATAAGCCATGAATCAATTATTCACACGTAACCGTGACTGGTGTGAGGTTCTGAGCTCTCTTTTTCTCTAGAAGTTCATTTGCAAACTGGAACCTATTCTCCTTGCATGAGGCATCTATGAGAGTGCTATATGTGACAAAATCAGGTTCCAATCCTCTATGATGCATATCATGGAAGAAGACAAGGGCTTGATCAAGCTTTTTACACTTGCAATATCCACTTATCAATACATTGTATGTATAATTGTCTGGATCTAAACCCTTGTCTCGGAGAGAAGAAAAGATGTTCACTGCTTCTTCAAGTTGACCAACTTGACAAAGGCCGTCAATTAGGATATTGTAGGTGATAATATCAGGGACTGGTCCACTGCTTACCATTTCTTTCAACATTGTCATTGCCTCATCAATCTGTGAGCTTTTACAGAGGCCATCCATCAATGAATTAAAAGTTACTACATCTGGTGTGAGGTTTTGAAATCTCATTTTCTGGATAAGGTGATTTGCATGCTGGACTTTGTTCTCCTTGCATAAGGAATCTATGAGAGTGTTATATGTAACAACATTTGGTTTACATCCTCTAAGACACATATCATGGAACAACCCAAGGGCTTGGTCAAGTTTTTTACACTTGCAATATCCATTTATTATTACATTGTAAGTATAATTGTCAGGAACTAAACCCTTGGCTCGGAGAGAAGACAAAATATCCACTGCTTCATCAAGTCTTCCAGCTTGACAAAGGCCATTAACTAGGATATTGTAGGTGACAATATCAGGGACTACTCTACAACTTGATATTCTTTTCATCATTATCATTGCCTCATCAACCCGTGAACTTTTACAGAGCCCATCAAACAATGAGTTATAAGTAATTATGTCAGGTATGATTCCTTCAGCTTCCAATTCCTGTATAATTTGATGTGCGAACAGGAGCCTGTTGTCCTTGCATAAGGCATCTATAAGAGTGCTATATGTAAAAACATTAGGTGCTAATCCTCTAAGACGCATATCCTGGACCAAATCTAGGGCTTTGTCAAGCTTCTTAGACTTGCAATATCCGTTTAACAAGCTATCATAAGTCACAATATTAGGCTTGCAACCAATTTTCGTCATCAAATCAATAAGCTCAGTGGCTTCATCCATTTGGCCACACAAACAATAACCAACCAACAGAGAATTGTAAGTAAAGATGTCTGGAGTTTTACCCCTTTTGGTCATGAGGCCCAGTATAGCGTGTGCTGCACTAACCTTCCCTTGTTTACAACACATATCAATTAACATGTTGTAGGTCTCAACATTAGGATCTATGTTGTTCTCCAACATTTCATCCAACATTTTCTTTGCATCCTCCCATTTCCCCAAAGTGCACATTCCACGAACTAAGGTGTTATAAGTTAAGACATCGGGTTGAATGCCCTTTCCTCTCATCTCAGAATAAAGTTTGGTGGCCTGAGGTAAAAGCTTATCCTTACACAGACTATCAATGATAGTGTTATATATGATAATATCAGGCTTATTAAGAGAAAAACCCGAGTTCATCGTCACAAGCAAATTAAGAGCATTTGCATAGTTCCCTATTCTACAAAGACCTTTGGTCAGTGTACCATAAGTCACAAGGTTGGGTTGAAACCCAAGCTTAACAATTTGATCAAACAATCTAGCAGCCTCTTCCAACAGATTGGAATAAATAAGCCCATTGATGAGGGTATTAAAGGTCACAATACTGGGATGAAACCCAAGCTTAATGATTTTACCCATAATCGAAAACCCGAAATCGACACGACCCAAACAGGAATAACAATTAACAAGGATGTTAAAGGAATAAAGATTATAAGGAACACCCAGCAATTCCAATTGTGAAGAGAGATTAATTACAGTTGAATAGATTTCAGGGTAACGAGGTTTAATCTTGATCATTGAAGACAAAATGACAGTAAAATCAAAATAAGAAGGGAGAGGATTCATACGGGTCATTTGATGAAAGAGTAAGACAGCGTCGTTGAGGTTGCGAAATCCCATCTTACATTGTTGTCTCATTGATCCGAGGAAGAATGTGGGATCAACTTCATTTTCAGCGGAGAAGAGAGAATTGCTCTGGTAATTTGAAGAAGAAGAAGAAGAATATGAAGAAAGAGGGTATGAAAGACGATGAGTAATGTTACCGCCATTAATGGAAGCTGAAGCTTTTGCAATGAATTCTTTTCCAGAAACTCCAATTTTACTAGCCATTCTTCAATTGCAAAAGCCCTAATTTTGCTTACACTAATCTGCAGAGATTGAAGGCAACTGGAAATTGAAAAATGGAATTGAAATCCCTAATTTGAAAAGGGTTTAGGTGAAATAGTA